ACCAGCACTTGTTGAGAAAGTGCCCATGTTTTTATTAGGTCTATGTAAGGTAGAGCGGAAGGAGAGCACTTGTCACCCATTGCCTGCAGAGCAGCCATGTCTTACCCACAGAAGAGAGTGTGGTCGTCCATCCACCTAGTCTGCCTTCACTCTTAGCTGTGACCATGCCTATATTTTCCACATAAAACTTCCATCATGGCTCAGAGATGGCTTTAAGGGATAAAAGAAAAACTAAACACTCTATGATTTAGTGACACGTATAAATAGTAAAAGTGTTAGTTTTTAAAAGGCAAGGGAATGATAGACACTATTCTGATATGAGGTACCATTTGGGCTGATGTGGTATCAGGGAGGATTACCTTGGTATTGGTCAGGTTCCAGTTTTCAAGTTGAGAGCTGGTTCTCTTGGTGCTTTATTGTTGTGCTTTGTTACCTCCATAAATCACCTATATTTTTGTATGTATATTATGTAATTTACATTTTAAATCTTAACTTTTATTCCATAGTAATGTGGCCCTCCATGTTGGCCAAAGGTCTGGCCTGGTCTGAAATGTCAAATGATATAGTTTGAGGTAAAAATAAAGAATAGGGTGAGTTTTAAAAAGCTAGATTAAAATTTCAAGGATTGCATGTATTCTTCAATTATGTTCTTTTTTAAAAAATTTGATGTTAGGAAGACCTTTACGAATCAAATCATAGAGTTAAAGAGCATAGTTTGCTATCTTGTTTTACTGTACTTACAAATAGTAAACAGAGAAAGTAGGTGACCTTGTGTAAGGTCACCGCCACTAGCCCTTGAAATGAAAAATTATAGAAATTATTGCCTTGAAGAACACAGCATTATATCCATTAGCCAAACACCAGGGCTGATACTCAATATGGTGATTTCACTTACTGCCCTTTTCACAGAACAAATCTCTAATTAAAAAAGCTAATTTAGCAGAAGTTAATCAGCCCTATTACAGACTCATGAATAAATTTGAATTAGTCAGCAGCAACATAATCTAAGCTCAAAGGAACCAGATTCTCAAATATCAGCTAATGATAATTACAAGTAACATTTACTGAGCACTTCCTCTACCACTGACTATTTTGTATGGATTGCCATTCATAATCTTCAGAAATGTTATTATTCCCATTTAACTGATAACTGGAAGTTTGACTAGTATCTTACTCAGCATCACATTAAGTAAGAGGAAAGGGAGCTGGAATCCAAACCAGCTTGGCAGTTTGACACTTCATCCACACTCTTCGCGTTCGCTACTACTTAATGGTTTACCACAGGTGGCAGCACTGTTGGAAAGCCAAATGCTAGAGGCTGCAAAATAGGTAGTGAGTGCTGAATTCAGTGCTCAGCCCTCTCTCATACTTTTTGAACTCTGAAATTTAAGGAGTTTGGAATCATACAACTTGAAGGGGAAATGCTAAGCTCACTTGAAATATTACTATTTCACCATTGTGGTCTTCAGATGCGTGGGCGGGTAAGTAACCTAATTGTGCCCAGTTTTTTGTGTTATAACTATGAGACATTAAGAAAATACATTATGTAAATTCAAGTGGAGGCAAAAAAAAAAAAAAAAAAAAAAACTGGGGGAGAAAACAGGAATTTCAAGCAAACTCCAGTGACTGGTGGCTGAGGTATCTTGAGTCAAGTGAGGAGGTGGTACTACTTCTAGCTAAAAGGCATGAGGAGAGGAGAGGCACCAGAAAACAGCAGAGTGAAGGGTTTGGGTGAAAGAACATAAAAATAGGTGGGTAGCAACCAGAGACTCATGGGCCAGAGAAGGATAAAGAAAAAGCAGAAGAAAAGTTCAGAGTGCTTCAAGATAATGTCTTGGTAGAGGAGAAATGAGAAAATGCATATATAAGCAATGAGTTCTAATTCACATTGTAATAAAATGAAGGCTTTGAGCTACTATTTTTCTGTTTTCTCATTTTTAGATTCTTTATCTCTCCCTTCACACGTGTCTATAAGCATTTGCCAGGATAAGAAGGAATCCTGGCAAATGCTTATAGACACGTGTGAAGGGAGAGATAAAGGCCCAGTGCATGGATTCGTTCCTCAGCCAGACCTGCAATCTGAGACCACTCGGGGGATGTAGGAGTACAGGAAACATAGACAGCTGGGGAGGAGCCCGAGCCTAGGCCCTGCTCATCCCTATGCTGCGGTGCCTGCTCAGTAGTGCTGCTGCGGAGGCGGGAGAGGCTTGCACTGCAGCAGGTGCGCTCACCAGTCTGGCACCCGTTGGTCAGCTGAGCAATGCTCCCACTGTGGGAGTGCACTACCACCAGGGGGCAGCTCCTGTGTTGAGCATCTTCCCCCTGGTGGTCAGTGCATCTCATAGCTACCAGTTGACCAGTGGCTTAGGCTTTTATATATATATATATATATATATATATATATATATATATATATATATATATATATAAAACCTCCTAGCATTTCAAAATCCTTATTCTTAAGAATATCATACAATTTATCTCCTTTCTAGCAAGGTCAGATATCCCTTTTCATCTTCTCTCATTCTTTCCTGTCTTCCCTTCCTTCTTGTATAACAAGTCACCCAAGACAGAGCGGCATAAAGCAATAACGCTTTATTATCACAGTCTTATGAAATGACTGAGTTCGACTGGGTGGTTCTCTCTTGAGGTCTCTCATGCAGCTGTAGTCAGCGGGTGGCTGGGGTATGAGTCATCCAAAGGTTCCACTGGATTGGACCTCTAAGATGGCATCTTTACAACATGTGTGATGCCTCAGCTAAGGCTTTCTAGACTGACTGGGCTTTTCCCTTCCTCCCCTCTCTCCTTTCCTTTGTCTCTCCATGCACCACATAGCTTCTCTGCATAGTTAGCTTGGGCTTCATCACAGCATGGAAGTTCCAGAGTAGCTGGACTTTCTACATTGTGGCTCTCTCTCCTCACCGAAGCATTCCAAGAAACATAAATGGAAGAAAGTTTAAAACTTGCGTCCTAGCATAGAAAGTCGCTCAGCACCACTGTTGCAGCATTTTGTTGGTCCAAAGATGGTCAGAGGGCCAGCCCAGAGCCAGCCCAGGGGGGTGAGACCACCCAAGGCTATGAATACAGGGAGGTGGTGCATCTCCCCAAAGACTAGCTACCACGTTTCTCATTTATTGACATTTCTGTCCCTTTCTCTCCTCCTTAACTGAAATACCTTGTTACTATCTTATATCTTGCTTTACTATCTATGTTTTTCTTTCTAGTTGTTTATATTAAGAGCAATTGAAAGACTTCTTTTAGGAATTCTTAAGCATTCTCTCTCAAGTGAATCTTAGACATATTTTTTCATTAAGTGACATTAAAGTTTAAGCTCCCAAAAGGCCCTTAGAAAAGCTGTGCCACTATTTTTCAGAAAGTCTCTTTGGGAAATCAGATTTGATTCCCTTTTTAGCCACCGATGATAACGTATCAAACTTAAAAGGCAGATCAGTTTTAGGGAAAGTGATACAGCATCATGTGTGGGTGGCCTCGGCTGAACTCCCCAACAATATTGCTTTTCATGCTCAGCCACTAATTAGAAAACCTGCTCTCTTATTGGGACTAAACTATGGTTTACTTTCTGGTGAGACCTTTTTTTACTTATATTCAAGCTCTTAGTTAAGCCAACGCCTGTCCTTTTATTAACCCCAAAAATTAAAGAAAAAAAGAGAGAGAATCTAAAGGATTTGTTGCAGAGTCACAGGGCAGTTTCAGAAATTCTTTGCTTAAAACCTCATACCTACAGATGGCTTAACTTTCCTTAGCTTCTGCAAATGCCGTCAAGGTCTTAGGTTCTTACAAAGAGTTATTGGCTTTTTTTTTTTTTTTTTTTTAAAGAAGCTAAATCTCCAAAGCTTTTCTCTGGTGATTATGGAGAACCACACACGTGGGAGAAAGTGGGCAGTTAAAGGTGGCAAATGATTTGATTTGATTTTCTTTTTCTACCCACAACCCCTTGGGAAAACCTCATAAAGGATTACTTTGCTCATGAGATTTTACTGTGTTGCCATTCAGGAAAGAACTCACAGGAACAGCAGGACAGAGTCCTGAGCTCGGGAAAGAGTGAGGGCTCACGGTGGGAAGCTTTACAAGGGTGGGATCCTTTGTAAGGATCGTGGGTTAAGCATCTGAGGTTGATACCATTTCTCTCACGCAGACTCCACTCAGACATCTGAAAGATGACTGAAAATGATCATTAGTAGTTGCAGTTTTTCACAATTTGGCTTCTCTTCAAGCAGGGAAAATATTTCATTAAAAAACACACAAACAGGTTTTAGACTCCTTCCTTTCCCAATGTGAAGAAACAGCATCGGAAAATAGCAAGCTGCCCCATTAGTGGTTGGCTTCCTCATCTTTGTTTTCATACTTTGGTTCTATGTGCAGATCAAACGGAGACTCCAGCCGCTCACAGTGTGCAGAGTCCACCCGCACAGGGAGGGCAGTGAACTTGATCAGAACAGCATTTTCCATGAAGCTTTATCCTAAACCCTTCAGCAAAAACTTCCACTGAACAGCAGGCACAACTTGAGGACACAGGCAAATGCGCTGCTCACTGTCCTTCCCGCAGCAGGATCGCTACCTAAGGCGAGTCAGGGCTATCCCTGTCCTGTCTGCTGCTGACGGTCTGAGGGGCTGAGCTGCAGGAAGGGGAAGGGGAGCTGGGCGGGGATCAGGGCCAGGATCACCTGATGCGTTGTTTTCTTAATTCTCACAACATCCCTGTGAAGAAGCGAAGAGTTTAAATCACTTGCTTTCAGGCAACTTAGTGAGACTAAATATTTAAATGTAAGAATTTTATTTAATACTTAGGTAAAATGAAGGATTTTAACCCGTCTGCCTGACAGCCTAGCCAATGTTCTCTCCATCGCCCCAGTCCTCTAAGAGCCATTGGTAACCTGTAACCCATGTATGAATTAAAATGGGAGGCTTTCTTTTGAGCTGAGCCTGTGGCACCTAGTCAAGTAACAATAGTTGTCACTCTCTCTTGTTTAATCTTATAGTGGAGTACGACAAGGAGTTCTCCCCTCGCCAGCGACACCACAAAGAGTTCAAGTTCAACTTATCCCAGATTCCTGAGGGTGAGGCGGTGACGGCTGCAGAGTTCCGAATCTACAAGGACTGTGTTGTGGGGAGTTTTAAAAACCAAACTTTTCTTATCAGCATTTACCAAGTCTTGCAGGAGCATCAGCACAGGTATGGAGGCTCAGGGAAGCCCAAGGGTGGGGCTGGCCCCGTTTCTCACCCTGTCACATACAACGACCAGCGTGTCTGCGGAAGGCCATCCGAGTTCAGGGCTTGTCCATGGGCATGATGAGGGGCGTGTCCTAAATGGCAACGTTTAGCCAGCAGGAAGGTTTTTTGCTGTTGAGTTGAAGAATTTCCAAATGATTTTTTTTCCTCAAGTAAGCCACTAGATGGTATTTACTAAGCATCCTTTGTGATTGGAAAATATATGACTATTTGGGGATAAAATGTTTCCCACTATTGTTTAGTCCCTACTTTGAATGATGGAAGAGGATGGCTAAAATAAATTCACACATGAAAATTATGTAAGGATGCTTACAAATGATACTAATTCAAGTGGAAAAAAGGCTACATATTTTCTTTGTGCATACACCTATATTATACATATGCATGATAGGTCTTTCAGTAAATGAGTGTGTGTGAAATGTATTATTTAGATATAGGAGACCATGGGCTTTTCCCCCCTGTGTCTGCATTACTGTGATTTCCTGAAATTAGGCCAAGTCATTCTATAAAATAACTGCCTTCCTAGCAATAAAATGAAAATAAAAAATAAAAAGACTTCCATGGCATGATATTTAGAGGAAGGTCTGAAGAGTAAAGTATTTCAGCAGTTAGTTCAAACCTATAGCACACAGAAAATAAGTCAACGACCTTGAATTTTGCTTCGTATTTAGGGGGCAGTTTAGCAGTTTGGGGAGGGTGGAGTGCTGGTGCACAGTAGGTTAGCAATGCTATAGACTTCTCACTGTGCATGAGGTGGGACCAGCATGTGACAGCCTGGCAATCAGATACGAAAATAAAAGTGGAAGAAGAGAATGCAGATGGTTAGGGAACCCCACATGTACAGGCTCCATAAGGGACTTGCAGCTTTGGCTTTATAAACCAAGTGCACATTCTTGCTCTAGTTCTTGGAGCTCTATTGACTTCCTAAAAATGTCCAAAAGTTTAGGAAAATACCTTAATTTATTCTAAAATTATAAATCTGTGTGTGGATCTATCACAAATACACACACCAAAATAATAACAAATGTTAACTTGCCCCATAAAAGGTTTATCTTAGTTTTGAGAACACCATTCAACATTTGACCCTAATGCATAGTCAAATCTCTAAGGATGAAAATAAATAAGGAAAAAGGAAAGACACTCGCCAGGTTTGGAGGACCATCATCGTGTGGATTTTAGATTTTGGCCCCTTCTCTGATTGAGTTCGACACCCCTAGTAGAACATACACACTGATGGTTGTATGTGAATTCTTGCTGGGATGGTTAAATAATAAGTAAAATATAGCCACTGTGGTATCTTTAAAACTAACCAAAATTTCAGAATGAATGGGAAGTTTTTTGATGGCTTATTTTCACTCCTAAATAAAAGCATACTCAATGACCTAACTAGTAAGGGCCTCTTTTGAAAAGTAAACTATTGTATTTGTTGCTAGATTTTCATCTTTTGATATTTCAGGGAGATTTGGTGTTCAGTGAGTCTTTGGAACTGCTTGAAACATTGATTTTCAATCCGCCTCATTATCTGTCCCATTATATTTTTCTGGTGGAAATAACCTCTTGGTATCTTTTTGGCTCAGAACTTTGTCAGAATACATGGCTTTCTCTGGCCTACAGGAAAAGCTTTATAGTGAAAACACTAGATTGTGAGCTTTGTGACTATAACATTCTTTTTCATTATTATTTTTAAAAAGAGAGCTAGCAGACCATTTGTAAGGTTTATGTTGAACTTCAGCCAAAAATGAGCAGCTGCCTTGAGCTTCAGCTGGTGGTGTCATACCTCCTCGGGGCCAGCAGTGAGGTTGGAAAACAAAATCTCCGACTGTCTCAACCTTTGATGACTCTGTCAAAGTGGAGCTGCAGTTTCTCCGCCTTCTAGGATGGAGATATTTTGTGACTGGGTGCGTTTAATATTTATGTATAGGAAAAGGGAAAATACTGGGAAAATTGGGGGAATTTCATGCCTTTGAAGGGTTCCGGTTGGCCAGGAGGATATTTTCTTTTCTTGTGGGTGGGCCAGGGGCCAGGCCTCCTGCTGTCCCTCATGTTCTTGCAGGGGCCTCAGAGTTAAGTGTGTGACTGGGGTGTCTTGGCTGAAAACAATTCTCCAGGCTTGTAAAGAAACTTATTTGTCTAATCTGTGTCCAGTGAAATTTGTAGTATTTGATGGATTAACTTTAACAAATGTGTGTGTTGCAAAATAGTTGGCCTCCTTGCAAGAAAAAAAAAGGGGGTGGGGGGCAGGTGGTTCAATGCCCTCATATTCTCAGTTGAGGCAGAATAAGCCATGTGCTGGGCTTCCTGGTATAAAGGGCAGCTAGGAGGCCCGACCCAGGGAGGGTTAGGGAAGATTCTTGGAAGCTAGATCATTGCTGTGATCGCTTCAGAAACATATTCCTCAGACTGATGAGAAATCATTAGACCAGGTAAGTTAAAAAAGGGACTATTTGACTAGATGGTGCTTTGAGTAAGAATAGGGAAACGTGATCCTTTATTCAAAACCTGAGAATAAGCTCTGAGATGGAATCTTGGTCCTGAAAGTGTCTGAGCAACCCATAGAGCAGAGTGGGATTAGCCCCCCAGGAGTGTGACAGCTAAACCAGAGGAGTCCAGGGTGCCTTTGTACTTGGCTTTTTAAATGTGCCCTGTGCTATGTATGTATGGTGTTTATACTTTAAGATGAGTTTGGTGTTAACATCTGGTGTTATAAGTCATTATACTTTTATGATGACACTGGTAAAATTGACACATAGTAGTTAGAGTTTGGAAAAGACCTTCTCATATATTCCCTCATTAGGATTTAGCCATGAGCCCATCAGTTAAGCAGGACAGGCATATTACCTATTAGAGAATGAAACGTGGTACATAGGAATTTTGCCAAGTCCAAATTAGCCTAAATTTGTCTTCTATGCTTCCCAAAGTTAGTCTGATGATGTGAGGACAGTGTCAGGAAAAAGGTAAAATGCCAGAGAGCGATAAGCAGTCTCCTACGGGCATGCTCCACATCTGCATCTTCTTAGTCTTGGTGGGAACATCCAAGGATGCTTCTGTTTGGATAGCAAGCGACACAGTTCTCTTGAAGGTGAAAATGTGTCTTAGAATTCATTGACTTTCAAGGCCTTCCTTGAAAAACCTTTGCAAACCTTTGTTGATCTATTAACCAAGCATTGATCTATTAGCAGCTTTTCTAGAGGAGGGGTATGAAGAGGAAGAAAGACTTGAATAAATGTATACAAAAGTATTTGTACCTATTCACAGTATTATACATTTGTCCATTTATTTCACCATTGTCTTCTGCATCTCAACACACTAAGCTGACTTCATACCTAGATACTCTGAATAATGTTGACCTTTCCTACTCAGGTATAGTAGCATCATGGTAGCATGTTGCTTGTCATAAGATGTATCATGATCTTTACTTCTATGGCACCTTTAGATTCATACAACAATTCTGAGACCTTTAAAGAATATCACGTTTGTGTACATTTCTTATTTGGCTAAGAGACATACATTTACTGGTTTTAATTGGTTTTGTGTATTTAGAAGTGAAAGAGCATCTCCTGAGAGCCAGCCAGAAATTTTAACAAAGGATCACGTCCAGTGTCTGAAAGAGGGCCCTATGGGTCCATGGATTGGCCTTATTTGCCTCTGCTAGTTTTGAAATGCCATGTTCTGTTCTGTTTACTTTGGTGATTGTCTAGCTTAGCAGTGATAGTCTAGCTTTTGTGTATATTGATAACTTCACTTTCTTTTTTTTGTTACTCCTCACCCTCTGATATTTTTCCATTGATTTTTAAACAAAGTGGTGGGGGAGGAGGGGAGAGACAGAGAGAGAGAGAAACATCGATGTGAGAGAGATACATTGATCGGCTGCCTCCCGCATATGCCCCAACTGGGGTTGTAACCAAGGTATCTGTCCTTGACTGGAATCTAACCTAGGACCCTTCAGTCCTTGGGCTGATGATGTATCCACTGAGCCAAGCTGGTTAGAGCTGATAACTTTTCTTTTTCATGTTCTATCTATGGTTCATTTAAAGTAAGAAATACTTACCAACTTTAAAATTCAATATTTCTGGTATAAGTAGTATCACAACTTACTCCTCTGTTTACAAATAGGAAGAGTGTGTTTTTTTTACATATATACTTTTTAAACTTTGGTTCCTACAGCGTGGGGCAAAAGAAGTTTACAGTTGTGAGTATGTGAAACACAGAGTTGATTCTTGTATTATTATTTATTAATTATTGTTTTATTTTCCATACGAAAAACTGAAAACCTACTTTGCTAGACCTGCATATTTTATCTTAATTTCAGAGTCCTTGGGATATGAAGAAATGCATCTGTGGGTCTAGGAAACAAGGCAGTGCTGCTGGAGAGCTGGTTTTCAAACTGAGAAAGATTTTCTTAGGACAGCCCAGAGCCAGCCCAGGGTCCTGGACAAAAGCCCAGACTGAGTTATTACCTAAACTAAATATCTGACAAAATTAACCAATTCTGACCCATTTTCCAGAGAGAATATAATTGTCCGAGGAGAGAAAATGTGCATTTTCTCAAACGGTTAGATTGATATGCTGCTCTGAACCACTCACAGAGCTAGGGACCACAAGAATAAGTCAGGAAGAGGAATGGGGATGAGGTCTGGTTTGGACATGGTTGAGTCATGGTAGGGATGCCCAGGAGGCAATGGAATATGGGAGTGCTTAGCTCAGCAGAGTGAACTAAACTACATAGCAGATATTTGAAATCATATCTGAGGTATTGAAGTTGATTAGATGTACCACCTGTATAAGAATAGAAGAACCTAATTGACCTAGTCACATTTATTGAAAATACTTTTTGTTTTCAGTGATATCTTTGTCCTGAATCAGGTGATCACATACATGTGGGACTATTTCTGGGATCTTTATTCTGTTTCTTTGGTTAATTTTTCTCTTCTACCAATACTGTA